TCTTCAAAAATGTTGGTATCATGAAAGACAAAGGCCAGGGAACCATTCCAGATTAAGGAAGACTAAAGATAAATAACATCTGAAAGCAATATTGTTCCTCAATTAGAAAAAAGAGACTGAATATGGACTATGTATTACACAGTTCTTGACTCATGTTACTTTTTCTAAGGTTTGATCATTGTGGCATGGTTATATAAGAGAATATTCTTGTTCTTTGGAAATATAGAAGTTATTATGGATAAAGGGATATGATGTTTGAAATTTATTTTCAAATGCCTTAGCAGTATAATAATAATACAGACACAGAGTGAGATAAAGCAGTGTAGCAACTTTCTAACATTGGTGAATCTAGGTGAAGAGTATATGTGAATTCATTTTACTTTCAACTCTTCTGTAGATTTGAATTTTCTCAGAAGGAAAAATGTTTGCTAAACTCATAGGTGTAAATGTATTCATTATTTTAATTTACTCTTCTCTGATTACTAGTGAGAATGAACATCTTTTTATATGTTGATCGTTTAGATTTCCTTTTTTTGTGAATTTAAATTCCTTTTCCTAATTCTAATTGGCTATTTGTCTTTTCCTTCTTGACTTGTCAAGATTCTGTAATAGTCTTCATCCCGATTCTTTGTTGATGTATTTTGCAAACCACTTCTCTTAATTTTTGGTTTGTCTTTTAACTTTGGGTAATGGGTTCATTAAGGAGTCTCAGCTTATGAGTGTATAAAATGACTTTGTTTTCAGTATTTTTCCACTAACTGTCCTATTTTGGATTCTTCTTTTCCATTGGATGGAGGATCCCTTTACACATCTTGTCAAGACTCTGTAACTTTCCAGTGACTTGGTTATTAAAAAGTCTCATTTTTGTAATTAAAGAGACAGTTAAAATTTATCTTGAACCATGAATCTCCAAATCTAAAGCTCTTCTCCTTACTCCTAGCACAAGCTAAACCTTTCCATGTCTCTGGTGGAGAAAGGTAGTGGTCTGCTTTGTACATACGTCCCCCTGCTAACTCATCGAGGTGCTAATCCTCTGCTATGTGGAGTGGGAAGAAGAAGCCAAGGGGCAAGCATCTTTTCACTTGAGTGAACTGTAGTAGGTGCAGCTTCCTCCTTGCTGGTCACTACTGCTCTAATGTTGACCAAGTTTTAACATCTTCACTGTGGCAGGCACCCATGTGCTGCCTCTGTAACTGGGTTGGAGGACATGTTGAGGGGGTTTGAAAAGGCCATGTGGGCTACCTTCCCTTTTGCACAGCTCCTGAAGCAGAGATCTAGCTCTGATTTAAGGTTCACATCTAATTTTCACCTTTTCCACAGGGACATCTCATCATCCCAGCCCCATTCATTGAATAGACTCCCCTTTCCCACTGATATGTACTACTGCCTTCTACCCAATGTAGTGGAAATTTTATCTGTTTGCCAAATATTGGGAGTACAGGTTGACCCAATGACTGTTCCACTCTTAACTGAGTTCTTTTTTCTCCCTGACTTAATTGCCAGGAGCAGGTCGGCAAGTTTGCTGGAATTGATATTTAATTGGGAGCAGGATGCCAAGACTTTGGTTTAGGCAACTCTAATTTTTTTTTAAAGATCTTATTTATTTATTCAACAGAGAGAGAGATAGCAAGAGCAGGAACATAAGCAGGGGGAGTGGGAGAGGGAGAAGCAGGCTTCTGGATGAGCAGGGAGCCCGATGCGGGGCTCGATCCCAGGACCCCGGGATCATGACCTGAGCCGAAGGCAAACACTTAACTGACTGAGCCACCCAGGCGCCCCAAGGCAACTCTAATCTTTAGGCGTGATTGCCTTGGCTTTTTCCCCTCCCTTGGCTTCTGGGGAATGGAGGTACACCACCTCCCTTCCACCCAGAGAGAGAAGAACCTCTCCACCCCAAAGGCCCGCGATCCCTCCCGTGTCTCAGTCCTTTTCCTTATGTGGAGTGAGGAGGAAGTTGGTGGTAAGTACTGGTCTGGTGATTCTCAATAAGCCTTGAGGGGGGGTGGCTGACCCCAACTGCTAGTGAAAACTTGGTCTTGGACCATGGAGAACTTAGCATCCTTTCTCATCAGTTTTGGATTTATCAACAATGTCAGGACAACCAGAAAAATCCCATTTGACATAAGGTTACATTTCATTGGTATTCTTTCTTGTATAAAAGTTTAAAAATGTCTTAATACAGTCAGATTTACTAATCTTTTCCTTATAGCTTATCCTTTCCTTTAGCTTTTTCAAGAAGTATTTCCCTATTCCTTTCAAAATTTTGCTTTTCACATTTAGATCTTTTGTCTATACTCTTGAAAAATTTGTTCTATATGTGATATGAGGTAGAGATCTAATTTTAATTTTCCCAAAAGGGTAGCTCTTGTCTTAGTACTATTTGTTGAATAGTCTTTTCTTTCCCACTGATTTGTATTATTGCCTGTCAAGTTGCTTTTTTTTTTTTAAGATTT